AATCTGTATTTATCAATGCAAACAATTCAAGTTCATTTCACTATATAAAAATAAATTAGATCTTTATTCAAATTTTAGAACTATACTTTTAAAAATGTGTTGATTATTAAATGTTTTATATATATATATATATATATATATATATATATATATATATATATATATATATATATATATATATATATATATACATATATATGAAAATATTTTAAATAATTTACATAATTTGGTATGAATGAAAATAAAACAAAAAAATGCTTCATGTATAAAATCTAGCTAAAATATTAATACATTTTTCAAATTTCTTCAAAGTAGGTTTACCTGCTTTGAAACATCAAGAGCTAAGAGGCACCTTTTATGTAATTTATGGTTATTACCGTAGTGTTTGAAAATACCATCTCACAACAGAAAAGAGACATAATCTATTTAATGGCCCTGCACGTTGCTAAATGAAGGGGCAGCAGTCTTAAAACCACTGTTTCTTTTCACTGGTATATGCAATGTTGAATTTAAACAGAAATATTATTTGGTAACAGCTAGCCTTATACACACACACATATATATATATATATATATATATATATATATATATATATACATATACTGTATATATATATGTATATGTGTGTGTGTGTATATTATACACCTTACATATGTAATGTATTATTTACCAAATAGTTTTATAAATCTCACCCATAGAATGCATTGGCCCCAACTCGACCATGAAGGTTTACTTTTTTGTACATAAATTTTGCCCTTGTGAGGCTGTGTTAAGGTAAATCTGTGTTTTGCATGGTCCAATATGTGTCAGGACCTCTGAATCTTGGACCCTATATTCAGACAGACAGATCAGTATAATTTACAAACAAGCTTTATTTAACAAACACAGCGGGGACTGATCGTCAGCAAGGTGCATAACCAGATTCTCCACAGAGATAGGAAACTCAGGTCAGTGACTAGAATGTCGGGCTGATCACAACTAAGAGCAAAAAGTCACTGAACTGGTTATAAGGCCAGTCTGATCCCAGTGGAAGGGGTGGAATCCAGGAGGGAGATTGTCCACCACTTGCCGTAGTGACTTCCAGAGCTCTGGATGATGATGAGCTGGCACCAGCCGACGCTGTGGAGGCAACAGTGTCTGTGAGGGAAGCAGACGCCATATCCAAAGCAGGTTGACAGACATGAAGATCAGAGAATCAAAGAGGTACCAAAGGAGAATCCAAGCCTAGGTCAGTAACAAAGTCCAAGCTTGGTAACCAGCAGAATCCAGGAAATCAGTCCAAAAACAAAACTGACAAGCAGACAAGGGCAAGAAAAAAACTCAAGTATACAGAGGTAGAGAACAGGTCAGAATCACAGAACATTAACTTAAATGCTAGAATTACTCTCACAAAATAGCTTGAATAATAATTTGGTGCTGATGGCAGGCCCACAAACAGCATAAATAGCAGAAGGCACCAGGTGGAAACGATATGCAATAATCGGCCACTAAGCCAATTAGGCAGGTGAGCAGGAGTAAGTGAAACTGCCAACCATCAGTTCCAAGACCATGACAATATGATATCATAAACCTAAAAAAAATAAGTAACAGTTTAATAATGGAGAAGCTATGAGTCAACTTTATATTTTTGTCCTATATAAAAACTATTTACTTTCTCAGAATGTGTTTGTTTTAAGAGCAGCTAAGCACACCTAGATAAAGTAGATTATATTATTTTCCATGTATAATCCCAGATTGTTCATTCTTCTTTGCCTTTACCCAAAAGGCCTTTAAATCAGTCCTACTTGTCTTTATCCATTCTGAGTCAGATCCTGACGTTTGAAAAACGAAGCAGGAAAAGCAGAATAAAGAGTTAGCCTCGATGCATGCAGTTAGCCAAGCATTGTAGCTAAAGCAGGTCCTGGAAAAAGACACAGGGCCGGATTTATCAAGATCCAATTTTGCGTGCAGTAATTTGCGCTCGCAAACTGGAATTTTTGCGCGAGGGGCTGAACCATGGTTTGCGGGTGATTTAACAAGAGTGATTGCGTAACTGGTGGCAGGTGCAAAACTGTTGGAGACACCCTATTTAAATGATGGTTTTGCGCGTTTTGTGGTTTGCGGCAAAGTAGTTTGTAGTTTGTACAAACCTAAGGTGGTATGTGGCTGAATTTCTACTTCACTGCAGTAAAACAAACCAAAAAACAGGTGTTTTGTATTGGCCTGTAGAAAAATGCACATACCAAATGGCTCACAAAAAGTGACTGTGGATGAGATTACTACGCATACGCATCCCCGCAGCATTGGCATGTTGCTCCACAGGCGCAGGGGGAGAACACCGACCCCGTCGGACAGCACTTCGGACAGCACTTCTGAAAAAACGAGATTGGGAAATCCCAGCTCTCGCTGCAACCGTACGCTGGAATGACCCAGATGCAAAAAAGTGCAACGTTGCAAGGAGTTTTGTGATATCTGGTATTGCGTGGGTCCTCCTTGTGGCTGGCTCCAAATCCATTCGGAGTTCCCCCAACAGCTCCAAAATGGCAATGCTGGATAAACTATGTTTTGATGATCATTTCTTCCTTCATTGCAAAAATATTCACACGGAGTGAAAAAATGCGTTCTCCACGTCTCCTTGCTTCATTTCGATGTCTCCTTCTTGCGACAATAACCGCTGCCATGTGTGCGCAATTACGCATACAGACCATTTGCACCTTCTTTTGAAACGTGTTAAATATAGAGTCAGATACCGTTAGCAAAATTGCTTTCAGGTTTGATAAATCACTTTGCGAGTGCCAAATTAATATATTTACATGTTCTCCTCCCAAAAGACGCACTTTAGCGTGTAAACGCCCCATATTGCATTTTCATTGCAGAAAAAGTACTAAATGGATACGAGGCGCTGTTTAGCACGTTTTAAAGACCAAATCCTTTTAGCACGCTGTTGATAGATCAGTTTGTACATTTTTTAGCGTGCGCAGTGAAATAGCTCACGTTTTTATACACGCAAACCTTTGATAGATCTGGCCCAGAGTGTACTATCTCCATCCGTCTTTGGACTGCTGATTTATTTTGATATTCGGCTGATCAGGTCCGAACGGTTTCAACTCCAGCTTCTCTTAGTAAGTTTGCTTCCCTTCTGCGACTCGGCCTGTCAATCACCTGTACTACAACTGTGACAACAGTTCCTGCCACCTCAGGGTGCAGCTCTGATGCGCCCTGAGCTCTCCTATACCTTTGTATTTCAGAAGCTACTGCGAATGTACAACTTTTAACGACAAGTCAATGGGCAAATATTTTTTTCGTCCTAGGGCGTTAATACATCACCAATCTGACGAAAAAAATAAACAGCTTTATTAGAGATTAAATATTTATCTTGCACTTCTAAAAAATATATATGAATATATTTTGAAATATCTAAATTTTGACTACGTAATCGCTTAAGCTACATTCATTTCATTGTCAGGAAATTATTATTTTAAATTTAAAACTTGTTTTGTCTTCTTTTCTTATTTAAACAAACACAATCATAACAACCTGAAGCAAAGTGGCCCTGTTCCAAATTTTGACACTCACTAAACCCAAACTTTTTTTCTATTTATTTTTTGTTTTTTATCTACAAATACTTTTCTAGTAAAATAAAAATGTGCTCACTTTTAAACTGCCACACAAGATAGCTGTGGAATTAGTTTATTGCATAGAAGTAGACAGGCTGTTTTTTTATTCATCTTTGCCATGACACAAGTAAAGCTAAATTAAAATGTCTTATCTAAACCAAACACAATTGCTTTGATTTTAAATTTTTCATGTAAATTTTTTAGGGTTACTCACTAGATCTAAGAAAGTAGAGCACATTAGCCCAGTTCTAAAGTCCTTCCATTGCCTTGTTAGAGCTAAGAGAATACACTTTAAAATCATTCTGTTAGTCTATAAAACACTGAACGAATCAGCACCTCAAAACATAACAGATTTGTTGTCAGTGTATAAACCTCCCAGAGAACTCAGGTCTTTTAGTTCCAGCCTACTCTGCACACCCAGAACTAGAACCAAAAATGGAGAAGCAGCATTTAGTCCCTATACTCCACTTATATGGAATAAACTCCCAGAAGATTGTTAAAGTGCTGAAAACCTGAGTTCTTTTAAGTAAAAGTGAAAAACCCATTGGTTAGAACTGCCTTTGACTGTTAATGTTATCTGTTACCTGAGGTGTTATTAGTTTAAGTTTGTGGTCCAACTGTTTTATTTGCTTTATTACCGTTTTTCCATGCTTTTATTTTAGCTTTTATTTTCCTTATATGTTATTGTTTAACTTATGTGGAGCATTTTGAATTGTATTAGTACCGAATTGTGCTATACAAATAAATTAGCCCTCCCTTTATTTTCTTTCATCAGTTTGTTTATCATCACTGGTTTCTGATGAAAGCATCCAGTTACAGTAATAGAAAGTGGATGAAAACAAAATATGAAATGAAAACAAAAAAACTCAAAACAAACTGAAAGAAACCAAAAAATACATATCAAAATGATGACTTATAAAATGATTGTGTATACATATAACATTGTATGAGTTTGGATGTAGGTCATGATTAAAACAATAAGGTTTTGTGTGCATTTTGTGTCTCAATGATGAAAGATGTTGCAAAATGTCTCACTCTTGACCCAGATACTCCATCTCTGGAGCATATAAGACATAAACCTGCTTGACAAAATAGAACATTTCTTTGATACTATTTTCAACAACTTATACGAACTGAGAAAACCCAAAACCCCCAAAATATCCAATGGATTATTTTAAGTTACCCACACACACAGACACACACAAAAAACAATCAGGGTTAAAATGATTTTAAATGCTGACATTTGACAACTATACAGAGTCATTTTTTTTTTACAGTGAAGGTAACCTACTGAGAAAATGCAAAACATGATGAAGGTGCAAGCACGTATAAATCTGCGCTCTCTTGTGGAGACAGCACAGGCAGCTTTAACATGAGGGTGTGGGTGGAGCTGGAGGTTCAGACCTGCTTTACCAGCTCTCACTCAGAGTTGATAACACAGGATGTCACCAGTCATCGCTTGAATGAAGAAAGCTGAAATGGACCTCAGATCACTCCCAGGTTTCTCTTTTCTGCATACAACCCAGGAAGAATTTTAATAGGATTTTTTTTTAAAGCATGCTGCTTTTTAAACCATTCTTTTTTGGTTCTGATGTTCACAGTTTGGTGCTGCTGCTTCTAAGACAGCATGGGGTATGAATAATGTTTGCTTTAGAAAACTAACACTAAACTTCTCTTTATGGCGAATCATGAGTGACTCTAACTTGAGGAATGAAAGTAACTATGGGCTGCATTTGGACGCGTTTAACACATCCGCTCTGGAGCGCATCTTTCCAGATGACAACATCACAAAATGCGGTAACTTCACCATGGACCCGCAGGTCGTCGGCACCGGGATCTTCCTCGCCGTTTTCATTCTGGTGGCCATCGTTGGGAATATTTTGGTCATCCTGTCCGTAGTGTGCAACAAACACCTGCAGAACACCACAAACTTCTTCATCGTGAACTTGGCAATGGCAGACCTTCTGCTGAGCATCATCGTGCTGCCTTTCTCCGCATCCTTAGAGGTGCTGGGATGCTGGGTGTTCGGCCGGGTCTTTTGCAACATCTGGGCAGCTGTGGACGTACTCTGCTGCACCGCATCCATCCTAAGCCTGTGCATCATCTCCATAGACCGGTACATCGGGGTGAAATACTGCTTAAAATACCCGAGCATTATGACAGAGCGAAGGGCAGTGGCCATCCTTGCGCTTGTGTGGGTTTCTTCCACGGTGATCTCCGTGGGACCGCTCCTTGGATGGAAGGAACCTCCACCGGAGCATGAGTCTGTGTGCGGGATCACAGAGGAGCCGGGCTACGCGCTCTTTTCTTCGCTCTTCTCCTTTTACCTCCCGCTCCTGGTCATACTGGTTATGTATTTTAGGGTGTACGTTGTGGCCCGCAGGACCACCAAAAGCTTGGAAGCGGGGGTCAAACGGGAGAGAAACAAGTCCGCGGAAGTTGTGCTGCGGATTCACTGCCGCAGCGTGCTGGAGGACGCGCGCTCCACCAGCTCCAAGAGCAGCAAGAATCATCCGTTCAGAAGTTCCCTCTCTGTGCGACTCATGAAGTTCTCCCGGGAGAAAAAAGCTGCCAAAACTCTTGCTATCGTGGTTGGGATGTTTATCCTCTGCTGGTTGCCTTTTTTCTTCTTTCTACCGTTAGGTATGTTAAAGTGTTATTTTTTTCCTTATTTTTAATATGCACAATGCACTAAATACCTTTAAAATATTCTTGTTAACACCTTGATTCATAATATTTAGCACTTTGAGGTACTCATAATCTTGAATCTGCAATTGAAGGCCCAACTAACTTTAGTGAAATTGTGTTAAAATCATTTTATTAACCAAATCAAAATTAAATGTGTCATGTATTGATCTTCTGCTCTCCATTTTATTAACTACTCTGCAGAAACACTTTATTGCATAAATTACATCTGAGATATATGGGTCTGTCAAACCAACTCTGCCCCCACATTGAAGGAAGTGTTTACTAATTCTTCCTTGCAAAATACCTGGAGCTCAGTTTGATTGGATAGTGTGGAAGTGTCTGCCATCATGATTTTTTGGTCAAATTTGATTTATGTTTTGCTGTTGAAATCACAATTGAAACACATGCTTTATTCCAATTTATTTCATTGCTGTTCGGAAAATATATTTAATGCTGATTTCCTCCTCAAAGGTGAATCCTCTCCAGTCTCAAACCTTTTGCTGCTTCTAGCAGTTCTTAGTTTAGTGCATCTACGTCTCCCAACCTTGTAAAAGGCATTTCAACAGTATGATGCCACCATCACGCATTAACTTAGCGATGGTATTTTCACAGCAATGTGCTTTCATTAATGCTCTCCTTCCTGCGATGTTAAGTTAATGGCTATGTCTTGGTAGGTTTACGGTTAGGGTGTATCGTTTGCATTTTCAGATGATGGATTAAATATTCTTATAGAGGATGTTCATATCTTTGGATTTTTATTTATAACCTAATTCTGCTTTAAACTTATGTACACATTTATTCCTGATCTGTCAGCTGTGTCCCTGGGTCTGCACAAGCCTGTTTGTTTGCTAATGTTCTCTAATAGACCTATAGGCATTTACAGAACAACAAATTTTATGATACGGGTAAATTACAAATTTTATCCATGTATGACCCTCTTTCATCGGCTTATATTTATGAGTATACAATTAAAGGGAGGTGAATACAAGCAGCTATAATACTTTTTTATATTTTGCTGTAAACACATTCTAAAACCATGTAGCAATTTTCTTCATATCCACCACCATGAGTTTTTTTTATGGTGGTCTGTCACCATCATCTAAATTGGATTCCTTGTGAAATTAGAACTTGTGCATTGTACTTTAAAGATGAAAGCTATTAATGGAAATCCTTTTTTAATAATTGATACATTTGCCACATTCAGAGTGATTAAGCGTTTGCTATGTCTATGCAGGTCCACCAGTTTGCAGATTTGGCTGAAAGTGCAGCACCTTTATTAATTATTAAGACGATTTAAATTAACCAGTTTGAGAAATTAGACCTCTTGTACAACAAAGTGTTGTACAAGAGTGTTGAAATAAAATTATTTTGGAACTTTTTTTTTTTACAATACCTAGTTTTACTATGGCATTTACAATTATTAGGAGGAACAAAAAGATTGACAGTCATTTAAAAAGTTTGATATTCTGAAGGACAAAATCCAGGGACTTACTTTTATTGTGAATATTTCTAGCAGATCAGTGATCAGTGAACCCCCCAGAAAAAAAGACATTGTTTACTGTTCAACCATTTAAGAGAAGTCTAACTAGAGCAGCCTTATAATCAATATACTGTGATGGTTTCCCATTATTATTCTGACTGAGTCTGTAAAAGTTTTACAACAGCTAATATGATTCGCCTGAAAGAGCAGCCAAAAAACTGGCATCATTCTGTAATGAAAGCAAATGCTTCGAAGTCCAGAGGGCTTCGAAGCATTTAATATTTATAGAGGATTTAGTTTCATACATGTAAAGAAAAGGGAAAGGTAATGGAAAACTCTTGATATTTAATGTCACTTTTGGCTCACAGTCTTGAAAATCTGTGTACTTTTTTGGGGGGAGGGTGCATACTGCTAACATTTTTACTACTTTAATTCTTGAAAAATATATGTCAGATAAAATGTAACAAATATTGTTTTAACTTTGATTTATCTTATGACTTATCTTCTTTAAACAAATCATATGACTTAAACCTTTTATTTGTCAAACTTTTGTTGTGTTTGATTTACAGACACATGTATTGACAATATAAGGAAGTGCAAATTTACTACATTGGCTATTTCCTCTCTGGATGTTTTTGAAATTTTGATTGAATTAGACTTCTGACTCAATTTAAAAACCTAAACTATAATCTAAAGATAAAAATGCTTTGGGGTATTTGTAAACAAAATGAAGGTAACAAAGTTCAGAAATTGCACTTTAAATATTTACATTTAGTCCATAGAAAATTAAATTTATTCCAAAAGCCACAAAAGCAGTGGTAAAGGCTCCATGCCACACTTTTAAGACTGGAAACCATTTTTTCTGTTTGTATCTTTATTACTTGTTTATCCTATAGATAACAAAACCTGTCAGCGAATGAGGCAGATCAGTTTCTTTTTTTCTTCATTTTAGAATGTATCCATATATTATATGTTTAAAGCTAATTTAATGTTGATTTCAGAAATATAAAGATAGAAGGAAAGATTCAAAGAAAAAAGAAAGAATTGATCCGTTTATGTTTTGTGTGGTGCATGTATTGCATTGCGCTCTGGTGCTTTTGTTACTTGTTGCAAATTTCCTAATATGGATAAAGCAATACTTTTTAACCACTACAGAGATGGCAGATGCAGACAGCAGAAATTATGAAATTATGCCTTAGACATGACCCCAAATTAGTATAACTGTTAAACTATGAAGTTTTCCTTTTATTTTGGTTTCTTTTTCTTTTTGACAGGTAAACAAATGAATGAGCCTCATTACAATTCCCACAGCAACCAAACTCTAGTATTTGATTGCACATCTCAAACGATTAAACCATTTGTGAAGCTCATTTCTATCTCCGACTTCGTGTACATTCTAAAACACCAGATTTGTATGAAAAACAGAAAGCCGAAATTAGCTCAAATATGGATCTAATCATTTACTTTAGAGAATTGTGTTTAATTCTGTATCTTTGGGGAGATAACGGAGTCCCAATAAGTGTTAGAAGCTTCTAATCTGTATTATTAATCATGAATAGGAGTGTCAGGGGTATATTTTTGAAGTTAGTTCATAAAACATAAAACTCTCATTAGAGCTTATATGGATTCAAGCTTGATTGAAACCAACTGTCCAGCAGACCTTTTGCTACAGACGCTGTTCAGTACAAGACTTAACGCCGACTTCCTCTGAGGATTTATTTAAAAAAAACATAACATCCCACAGGGATTAATGGCGTACCATCTTATCTGTCTCTGTGGCCTGACTGCTAAATGACTGATTGATGATTATGGAGTGTCTTCCTTGCACATACTCAGTCAGACGCATTGATGTGGGTCGATTGAGGGGATAATCATTAATGAGTAACCTTTTACAGAAAGCCAGAGGTGTAAATTTAGCAGGCCGGGCCAACGTGGTCCTCTTTCTGTGATGATGCAAACAGAGACGAAAGGGTCTGTCTCATCTTTTAAATCATGCAGTTTTGCTCTGATACTACTGTAGTTAAACTACAAGTTGCCAAAAAAAAGAAAGAAGCAAAAGCAAGTGTGTTTTTCAGATCTAACTTCCTTTAATGTTTAATAGACTATGCTTCTTATTGCATTCTATGTATTATCTCAGTGAATTGTTGAATATTTTGTGATTTGTTAAAAACAAGTAGTATAGCAACTTTATCAAAGAAATATTGCATAATAAAAACCTGTAAAACAAATAGTGTAGACGGTTTGAATTTTCCATCTGAACTGCTCAGCTTTTATAGTCAGCTTGTAAGGATTTTAAGCTCTACCGCAGTTACTGTAAATGTACAGTGAATGCCCTGTTTTTACCATTGTTGTGTTTAGGATATCTATGCTGGAAATTTCTTTTATTAAAAATCCATCCATATGAAGATAGACCCAACCAAAAAAAAAAAAATGAAAATGAAATGAAAAACATGTTCAATTATTCAGTCTGCATCTTGAATGACTTGGCATAACTCAAACCATATTTAACTTGGACCACAAAACAACCACAGACTCATCAACAGAAGTTTTTACAACACAAGTAGTGTTTTAAAAACCACCACTGTGGTTTGAGGTAAATTCAGTGACAAATGACCATCATATGACAGTTGTCGCATAATTCTAAAATTTAGAGTGCTAAAACTAATTCTTAAAAAATAACTTTTCTTCAATAAATTTTATTTATATAGTGCAATTCCACATACCAGGTGTTCTAAGGTATTTTACAGGAACAACTGAGTAAGGTCAGTTAAACGTATTCTATCAAAGGATCTTATTTTTGATATAATCTCATAAACCCATTATTGCTAAGAAATAGGTGGTTCCTCTATTATTGAAGACAAATATGCTGCCTTTGTTTTCAGAAAATTGTTTTTCTAGATAACGTAGGATTACTATCCATGTTTATTACATTACTCTGCTGCAAATGCACCAGTTGTTTAAATGTTTATGTTTAGATGTCAGGAAAAAAATGAGATTATATACTAACTTACTGTTTGTAGATTGCTAAGCACAAACATTTTAAGTGTTGGGTCAATGTCAAAATCATTTTAGTAACAGAAATAACATGAATGATTTAAGCAAATCAAATTCATCTTTCTTTAGCCCCTTTGACATTCTTCAAGCGCTGCATCATCTCTGTTAGTGGCAGCAGTTAAACTCATCCTGCCACTGCATCAGTGTGAAGCTAGTTTTGTTGTCAGTGCACTGCCTGTATCATTTCAATGATACCTCAGACTGAAATACATGTTGTTGCCATCCTTCCTGTAGTGTTAAAATATGTAAATATGGCATCATATTTATGGCTGTTATCTCAGTTATTATATATACAGTGGGGAAAAGAAGTATTTAAACACACTACTATTTTGCAAGTTCTCCAGTTTCAAAATCATGGAGGGGTCTGAAATTGTCATCATACTGTAGGTGCATGTGCACTGTGAAAGACATAACCTAGAAA